AACAACAATGTATATAGATGTGTGTACATACATATGTATAAAAAACAATTTGGACACAACAAGAAGTGATGGTCTCTAAGTCCAAGAATTCTATAAAATGAGAAATGGGTGAATAGGGAGTCCTGGTATCGCGCTGTGGGTTAATACACCGGGTTGCAAGGTTGGTTGGAACTGCAAGGTTGACAGTTTGAACTCACCAGTTGCTCCTCGGAAACCCTATACAGGGTTGCTATGAGTCAGAATCAACAGCACAACACCAGTGAAAAACAGAAATTGGAGTGATTACCCTCTTATGTTCAGACACTTATATATGGTATTTTTTTTTCAAAGCCTTGAAAGCCTTTTTCTTTTTTTTTTTCCCAACAAGGCACTTCATTTTAGAAACATCTTCCTCCTTCCCCTTCATGCTTCCTATACCCATAAAGTAATATCGTTGGGTGGATATTATATACACTGTTCAAAGCAATGTCTCTTTAATAAAGTCCACTATTATCTAATCAATACTGGTAAATAGCAACCCATATACTGTTGTTAGGTGCAGTCCAGTTGGTTCAAACTCATAGCGACCCTGTATAGGGTTATCGAGAAGCTGTTGGTGAGTTTGAACCACCAACCTTGAGATTAGCAGTCCAGTGTTTATCCTATGCGCCACACCAAGACCCCTTGTTGTGGTTAAGTGCCGTCAAGTCAGTTCTGACTTATAGCAACTGTATATAGAGTTTTCAAGAGCAGCTGGTGAGTTTGAATGCCCAACCTTGTGGTTCAAACTGATCTTGTGGTCCAGTGTTTTATCCCACAGCGCCACAACAGGAATAACCCAGGACCCCTTAGCAATGTTATATAGAGACTGCGTAAATCTTTATGGAAGCAAAAAAAAAAAAAAAAGCCTCATTTTTCTCCCAAGGAGCTCAACGGTGGGCTTGAACTACCAAAGTTGCAGTTAGCAGTTCAGTGCTTATCATACATCATTACCAGGGCTCCTTTCTTTAATAATAGTTAACATTTAAGTCCTCAGCTGCCAGCTGAAAGGTCAGTGATTAAAACCACTTGGTCCAAGGGAAAAAGATGTGGCAGTCTGCGTCTGTACAGATTTACAGCCTTGGGAGCCCTGTGGAGCAGTTCGACTCTGTCCTGTAGGGTGGCTAGAAATAGGAGCCAAACCAAAATCAATGTGTTTCGTTCTGTTGTGCATAGGGTCGCTATGAGTCGGTACCATCTCAATGGCACCTAACAACAACAACAACAACACTGTTTTTAAGGCGCTCTGGTAGCATAGTGGTTACAAGTTGGGCTGCTAACTTCAGGGTCAGCAGTTCTAAACTACCAGCTGTTCTGCAGGAGAAAGATGAGGCTTTCTGCTCTTGTAAAGATTTACAGCCTCGGAAACCCTGTACAGGGTCTCTATGAGTCAGAACCGATTCTACAACACATAACCACCACCACCACACTGTTTCTTTGACTTTTAAGTGTGTTGTCCACTCATAACAGTTCTTGCTATTGTCAAGTGCCATTGAGTCGGATAGGGTTTCTAAGGAGCGGCTGGTGAGTTTGAACCACCAACCTTGTGATTCAAATTGACCTTGTGGCCCAATCCATTAACCCACAGCACCACACCAGGACTCCCTTAGCTACATTGTTTGCATTTCATTTGGTTATTGACCGGTTTTTACAAGTTTTTTAAGGATGAAGTTTTTTAACAAAGTTAACCCTATATATTTAGTACAGGGTCACTCTTTCTCTTGCCTTTCCCTTTCTTCAAATTTATTGAGAACCTATAATATGGCAAACAAGATGGACATTCACCAGTGAAATTGTGTTTAAATAATAAGAAACAATTCTCTTTCATGGAATATCTGTGGCATCAATGATAAAACATTGAAAATATCATATGAATGACACGTTACTTCTTGTTTCCCATTCTCAATCATTGAAACCTCAAGCCTTATTATTAAAGTATCTCAATTTAAAATGCTAGTTTATGCATTTGGAGGGGGGAGTCATTAAATACTGGATGAATTTCACCAGAGGTAATGGTTTTAAACAGAGCAAATGTAGTACAGCTATTTATTTTATTAGGTATCACAATTTACCATATGTTACTATGGCACATTTTATTAGTAATTTGAGTATTTGAGACATTACTTGTGCTCATATCTAGGATGAAAACATGCTCAAAACAGCTTTATGTAGACAATTTATATGGAGCACATTTATCTCATCTTCAGGGATTCAATTAATTGAATACAGTTCTCCTAAATATAGTCATTTGCTGGTTCTGAAATTTCAATTGATATTCATCTTCAAAACTGTTTACATAACAGGAAATCTATTTTTAGAGAAGCATCTTGTGTATTAATTTTTAAAGGCACACACACGTTACTGTCCAATCTGTTTTTATAGTACTACACGAGCTTCCTAAATAGCTCTAAAGAAAGGCGGTATACTTTGTCCTGCAGCAAATTTTAGGTTAGCAGAGTGTTTAACAACCAGGGCTCCTTGAAGTATGAATGCAATATAAGATTTTTGAGACTGTAAATCTTTACATTTTCATCTTTCTCCCATGGAGTGGCTAGTGGCTTCATATCTCTGTCCATTTGGTTAGCAGCCCAACACCTATCCTACAATGCTACCAAGACTCCTTAAAATATGAATGGTGCTGGATATGTGCTATGGAGTTGGTTCCAATTCATAATGACCCTGTATAGAATTTCCAAGGCTGTAAATCTTTGTGAAAATAGAAAGTCTCATATTTCTCCTGCAGAGCATCAGGTAGATTCGAACTGCTGACTTCATAGTCAGCAGCCCAACTTGTAATCAACTACACTACCAGAGCTACTAAAAGTAGGAATGGTGGTGGTGTGCTGTTGAGTTGATCCCGACTTACTGACCCTGTAGAGGGTTTACAAGGAGTAACTGGTGGGTTTGAAGCACCAACTTTGTCATTTGTGTCCAGTGCTGATCCTATAACACCATACCAGGAGTCCATTTTGCTGTTGTTAAGTGCCGTCGAGTCGATTTTTAACAAGTTTAGGAAAATGCTGATGATTTGCTCTGTAAATCTTCACTCAATTCACAATAATATTTAAAAAAAGAAAAAAATAACTGCTTTGTAACCCTTCAGATCAGGGCAGAGGCCAGGCCAAGAGACTGATGGCCAGAGAGAGGCTGTCTTAACTGGAAGAACTGTACTCTGAGCATTTCTGACCCTGAATCGTAACCTGTTAACTTCCCTAATAAACCCTGTCACTGTGGTTATGGTGTTTGAGTGCTGTGTGGCATTGATAGTGATTATTGAACCCAGCTGAGTAGAGAGTGCTGTAGGAAGGAGAGTTGCTGCCATTTTTCATGTAATCAATTATTATTGCACCTGATTTTAGACGTTTGGTCTTACACTGATTTGGTGATCCACCAAAGCACAATATTTATCATACAAAGATCTAAGTTAGAACTTTATTATATCTTTTGATGCAATTTAACATAAATTTGTGTTTTTATTATTCAAGTTTGTCCTTGATTTAACCATAAAACACTAAAACAAACCATGAAAAATGTGTATAAAAGAATAAAAGAAGTGCTTCCATTTACCCCCACCTTCCCAATTCCCCAGATGTATGTTTTTCTATATTTGACTCAATTTTAATTAAAGAGAAACACTGAAAGGTTTAATTTCACATCCCTGATGATTTTAACAACAAAAAGTTAATGTTTACCACTACAAGACCACAATCAGGTTTTCTGCAGAATTAACTTCTTCTGAACCATTTTTTATATCTGTATTAGAATAAACTTCTTAAAATCCAAATATAGATAAACCAGTGTCATCCCAGATTTTCAAATATCTTCTCCTAACACACTTACATAGAATAAGCCCTGGATATCAAACTACAAGGTTGGTGGTTCCAGCTCACCTGTTGCTCTGCAGGAGAAAGAAGAGACTTTCCGTTTTTGCAAAGTATACAGCCTCTGAAACCCAATACAGGATATCTATGAGTTGTAATCAATTCGATGCAAGTGAATTTTGTTCTGTTTTATATTAACACTATTAAAAAACACTTTTCTCAGCATTATGAATCTTTCCCTCACATGACCATAACTCTCCCTGCCACACACACGTACACACACTATGCACATAGGCCTAGCTCTCTACTCTTGTTTCCATCGTTTTAACACTTATTAAAGTTTCCTTATCTATGGCTATGGGCATTATATCCCCTACCCTATGGAGTCCTGGGGTGGTGTAGTGGGTTAATGTGCCAGACTGCAAAGCTGTTTGAACTGTAAGGTTGGTAGTTCAAGCTCACCAGCTGCTCCTCGGTAACCCTATACAGGGTTGCTATGGGTCAGAACCGACTTGATGGCACTTAACAACAACAACATAATGCTAGAGTCAGTTGAGAGGGAGCTGGCCTACAATCTGAGCAATGACAAAATCCTCAGAAGATAAAATGTTAGTTTCGTTCTGTAAGTGACTGGCCAGATTGTAGTCATCTTGTACCACCACATTGACCTAGAATACATTGGACTTTCGGGTGTGCTTTGCTATTCCATCACCCCGGGTTCACCAACTCATAGAAATCCTATATGACATAGTAGAACTGTCCATAAGGTTTCCAAAGCTGTGGTGTTTATGGGAGCAGATCACCAGGTCTTTTGTTCCATGAAATAACTGGTAGGCTTGATCTGCCATCCTTTCTTTTAGCACCCAAGTGCTTAACTGTTGTACCTTCTCCAGGGATCCTAGTGAGATATTAGCTAGGTCTAAGAAAGAAAGGCAACATGATTTTCTGTTTTCCTGGTAAATTATATTTCTAGGATTTATAATCTTTAAACTATTAAGAAAACAGTACTTACTTGAGAAAATGTGGTTATCATTTTATGAATATACTCAGTTTCTTTGTTTGGAAAGTAGACTAAACATACCAAAAGTGATCAGCATTACTATGCTGATCACTATTTATTACATGTTATCTGTTTATTAAGTCTTTCTTTCCTCTACCCAGGAATAATTTATTCAACATCAACTCTAAGCCATTTGGAATCTACGACAGTGTCGCTGATTGTCTGTGCTCGAGATGGTGGTGGACTCACATCTGCCGTTAATGCTGACATCACTATACACATTCTTCCGACAACTCTGGTACCTGCTGAGTTTGAAAGACCCAAGTATACTTTCTCAATTTATGAAGATGTGCCTGATGGTAGTCCTGTTGGAACAGTGAAAGCAACAGAGCCCTTGAGTAAGTACTTCTTATGCTGCATTGAAATCTGTTATTGGAGTATTGCTTGTATTATATTTAGGCTGTACAATTGTATATGTTTTTTTCTTTCTATCCATCTTACCTTATACAAGAAGAATGAAGGGATATAGTGAAAATTGTGCATTTTCCTTTGTTATTTCATCAGTGTTTCTATTACAAGTTTCTGTTTTGAACTGTTAGGTGCTGTAGAATTAGTTTTGACACATAGTGATCTTATGTAGGGTTACCAAGACTTCACATCTTTAACAGGAGCAGAAAGTCTCATCTTTCTCCCACAAAAGCATCTAGTGTGCTCGAAACACCAACGTTGTTTGATTTGCAGTTTGATTTGCTTATCCTATGGAACCATTGTGCTCTTATTAATTTATTTACATGATAGATATACAGTCTGATATATATATATA